CCCCCTGACCGAATGGTCAGTCTGCCCCGGTATAGAACATGCACTGGCCAGACCCCCTTTTTCATTGATGGGGCCTGGGCCCCCTACAGGAGGCCCAGTGGTACCCCCTTATTGGTGGCCCTGGTGACATGTATGGTAAGCTTAAAAAGTTGTTAAATCATGGAGCAACTGTACCAGCTAAACAGTATAAGTAGCTGACATAGTGCTGCAACTTCATAGCTGTCCTTGCTCATCAATACAATAATCAATAAAGATGTGGGTCCTTTTAGGGTACAGAAAGCAGCTGCTGACAATCTTCCCTGTAGATACAGATCAGGAAGGCTTAATTCAAGACTACAGTTGTGTCCAAAATTATTCAACCCCCAATGCTGTAAAGGGGTTTAGGGACTATAGTGTACATTTGGAATTGTATTCAGAATCAAATCCTACAAGGACGTTGTAACTACCCAAATGCAACTAAAATGACATCAATTGTTTATGTAATACAGTAGTAAAATGGTTCTTATGTGGTTTCTTCATTGCCACAATTATTCAACCCCTTAAAGACTACCACTCTGAAGAACAGAGGTTCATACAGGTGCTTTCCATCAGGTATTGAAAACACCTGTGGATGTCACCGAGCAGCAATCAAGCATAATAAGCACCAATTAGGCAGCTTTAAAATGACTGTGATACTCAGCTCCTTCTAGACATTTACTGGTGTGGTTACAAACATGGTGAAGGCAAGAGAATGGTCCAGGAAGACAAGAGAAGAGGTGATTTCTCTTCACAGGAAGGGCAATGGCTATAAGAAGATTGCAAAGATGTTAAACATACCAAGAGACACCTTAGGAAGCATCATTCGCAAATTCAAGGCAAAGGGCACTGTTGAAACGCTACCTGGTCGTGGCAGAAAGAAGATGCTGACTTCGACTGCTGTGCGCTACCTGAAGCGTAGAGTGGAGAGAAGTCCCCGTGTGACTGCTGAGGAACTGAGAAAAGATTTGTCAGATGTGGGTACAGAAGTTTCAGCCCAGACAATAAGACGCACACTGCGTAATGAAGGCCTCCGTGCCAGAACTCCCAGGCGTACCCCCTTGCTGTCTCCAAAGAATAAGAAGAGTCGACTGCAGTATGCCAAAAGCCATGTGGACAAACCACAAAAGTTGTGGGATAGTGTTCTGTGGACTGATGAAACAAAATTAGAACTGTTTGGGCCCATGGATCAACGCTATGTTTGGAGGAGGAAGAACAAGGCCTATGATGAAAAGAACACCTTGCCTACTGTGAAGCATGGTGGAGGGTCAATCATGCTTTGGGGCTGTTTTGCTTCTGCAGGTACAGGGAAGCTTCAGCGTGTGCAAGGTACCATGAATTCTCTTCAGTACCAGGAGATATTGGATGGAAACGTGATGCAGTCCGTCACACACCTGAGGCTTGGGAGACGTTGGACCTTTCAACAGGACAATGATCCCAAGCATACCTCCAAGTCCACTAGAGCATGGTTGCAGAGGAAAGGCTGGAACATTTTGGAGTGGCCATCGCAGTCACCAGACTTAAATCCGATTGAGAACCTCTGGTGGGACTTAAAGAAAGCAGTTGCAGTGCGCAAGCCTAAGAATGTGACTGAACTGGAGGCCTTTGCCCATGAAGAATGGGCGAAGATACCCGTAGATCGCTGCAAGACACTTGTGTCAAGCTATGCTTCACGTTTAAAAGCTGTTTATAACTGTAAAAGGATGCTGTACTAAGTACTAAGATTGAATGTCACTTGGGGGTTGAATAAAACTGATAATGCTGTGAGCACAGAAAAGACATTTGTGGTTATTTCATTATAACTGTTATGTTATATTTGTCTGACCTACAAGTGCCTCTTTAATGTAAATGTAAGCAAGATGACTGAATGATCAAAAGCAATGTCAAACTGGCCAAAACACTCAATTTCAGTGGGGGTTGAATAATTTTGGACACGACTGTATATAATGTGCACATTCTTCCATGAAGATTTCTGTACATTTTTTTTTGTCTACAATATTTGTAACTACCCATTATACCACAATGATATTTTCCCAGTGTGGGAACATTAGGAATATTAAACCTCTGCATCCTCAGGCATTAGGCTGAAATTACTCAGTAAAACAGAATTTCCCACAAGTCTGAAATAAATTAATAGGACAAGTCTCTGAGCAACACTGAATGCCTGGGTGTTAACATTCTTCCTTCAGCACTGACAAATCACACAGTCATTGACAGTGACAGGGCAGTATACTTGTTCCCAAAGTAGCAGACAAACATGGACTAAGCATGGATTCTCACACATATGCCCTACTGATCCCCTGAGCGATGGGAATCTTTGGGTTGTTCTGGCTTTGCCCATATCAGGAAGAAGCTTAAACTTCAAATGCAGGCTGGATTTGTGACCAAAAAATACAGGCAAAGTCTCCTATACCTTGAAAAAAAAAGCAAAAAAACACTAAAACCGAGATAACAACAACATAGGATTTTAAAGGAGACTTTAGGTCCTTTTTAAACTATATACAGTACAATGTCCAAACTAAATCTTTATATAATATATGTTCTCTTAATGAAGATATTGCGAAATACAAGATAAATTGTACACCAGGCACACAGGCTACTATCCATTTATGACACAGGCCCTTCTAAGTCTTTATATTTGGCTCTTGGGCCACCAATACTGATCAGTTGCTTGTATATGGAAAATAACAGTAAACTATTGCTGCTGCTAAACACTCGGGAAAGAAGAATCAAGATACACCTCACTAGCTGAGCTGCCTTCCCATCCACCATGAAGAGCAATTTTAAATTTTAAAGTGATAATAAAGGCTGTTTTTTTTTTTTTGTTAAAATAAAAAGATGTTGTACTTACCTGCTCTGTGCACAGAGCACATATTGCACAAAGCAGCCTCTTACCTCCTCTTTGGCAGTCCTCCACCGCCGCTATCCTCCCTGGTCCAGGTGCCTCTTTAGCAAGCTGGGTGCCAAGGAGGCACCCATGTGCATGCAGTCTTAAGCCGGGCTGTGTGCATCTATAGACACACAGCGCTGGTAAGCCACATTCCTGCTCCCTCCTCACAAACGTTTGACAGACAGCAGCAGGAGCCTGTGAGACCAGGAACTGAGAGGAGTGGTGCTGCAGCTAAGACAGCTCTGGAGTGGTGACAGGAGTCAGGTAAGTTTTTATTGATTGGGTGGGCAGGGGAAGTAGTGTTTTTTTTTTACCTTAATGCAGAGAATACATTAAGGGGAAAAAAACAACAACATTTGATTCTGAAAAAATGTTAAACCTTTTAAACACTGTAAGAGGGACAAGTTAAAGCCCAACTGATTCTTCTGTTTAGATCACTTAAGTCAGTAGCTGACCCTTGCTCCCTGTGCGGGAGCTGTGGTCTTTTTGCAATGGTCCAATATGGAGGGAGGTTGCCTACTGTAAGTGAGATAGCATGGCTGCCCGAACAAGGGAGGGAAGGGTTTATGCATTTTCCCACTCTTTTCTGGGCTTTGCCTCTCTCCCTGTGCTGTAAATAAAAAGGGGGGAGGGGCTTTGCACTCAGAAAGCTGTTGCATGGGAAGAAAGCACATACAAGACACAGCATGTAATCTTCAGCTATTACACAAAGAGTCTCACTGCGCTGAGAAAGCCACCAGTGAGAGGGAAGACACCATCAGCATAGATACTGCCATCATGGACTCCACCAGTAATGAACTCACATCCTGTGCAGGTATGCGGGGGCAGCCACATCTACAGTCGGGTTCATTCATTAGAAACCGATTGTTTGCTATGGAACTGTTGCACTGAGGTTTTGCAGTAAAGCTTTGAAATGTTGTTATGCCTGGTCTGAAGTTATTCAAAGGGATGTGTGAAAGTAACTGGCACACCACGCATAGTTTTCTGAAGCTTGGGTCAGTTAAAGCACATTGGGGTTAAAGACAGCCCTGCAAGTGTTAACTTGGTACAGAGTTAAAACAAGCAGTTGCTACCAGTAATTGAAGTCTAACAACCAGTACAAATAGCCTGTCATGAAGCGTGATACTGGTGATAGGCGGGTGTCCTTTAGCAGAGAGGGCTTTGTTTCTAGGGCTCTCTCCCAGAGTGGTCCACCTTCTGTAGCAGTGGGAGCAAATTAGCACTGCAGAGGTCCTCGGCCTGGCCACTGGGTATGGAAAAGGTAGAATTGATAAAGTGTATGCATAAGGTCATCTCCATGTGCACAGAGGGACCCCATTCTGTCACTGGGACTGAGGTGATGGTGGGCAGAGACTGTTCGTGTCCCTCCAAGCAGTTACAGTCAAGGTGTGCATTGACACAGGACTAGAGAGTTAATTGGAGTCCAGTTTTTTTGCTCAGCGTACATGGAGTATGGCCATCTCTAAGTTGGAAGACCGCCTTAACATCGAATCTCGCCGAAAGCCGTCTCTGCCTTATCCTGGGGCATCGATGAGCAGCGCACAGCAAAGGTAACCCATGTGCAGGTCGAGTGACCCAGTTCGTGGTGCCTAGCATAGTCCAGAAGAACCTGGTGTGCTTACAGTCACTTGGAACAACAACACCCAACAGCCCACCACCCAGCCCTGCTCTCGAACACACCGCCTACTGAATCTACCCTAGTTCATGTTCCCTGTTGATTAAAGAGCTCTGCCCAGAGGCAATGTCAGACTGTTAAATAAAGATTACTGCTTTCCCACAAAGAATGGGGTTCCCATTCAACAGCATGCTAGTAGGGAATAGGCTTTTCTACTCATGCTATGGCTGCTTTAGAAAAAATGGGCACAGATGGGCTTTAAAAGAAGTGGACACATGAAAAACTTTGCCCAGAAAGGATTTTTAAGATAAATCCGTGGCACAGAGGCTAGGGTGTTACTAAAAGGGTGCAAGTAATATACCTGTAACAGAAACTATGAATTAAAAGTTACACTACACACAGAGAATTCAGCTCCTCCCCTTTTCTGCCATAATGAGCACCCAAATAATGTAAAATAGATCATAAAGTGAAACTACATACCTCTGTGTTGTTTGCACATAACCTCAGGAGGATCTGAAAAATACAGAAAATATTCAACAATCAGACAAATTTACTACATATTTTATTACGATTAAACATTAGTAACATTTTATGACATCATTCTTTTCATATCAGACACATAGAAACTAACGTCATCCACAGATGGTGCAAATCTCTTTCCTGCAACCAGGAAAGAAATTTGCACGATTCCCCCATCAAAACAACACAGTCTGTGCTGACAGGGGAATCCCTCCTGCGGAGCAATTGTCTTCTCTCGGCAGGGGAAAGTCGTCCCTGGCAGGAAAAGAAAGTGATTAATCGCTAGTGGACCGATCGATCAACTTGGTACATTTAGCCTGCCCATACACAGTTCAAATCTTGGCGGTTCAGCAGGAGCCAGCCGAGATTTGAACCGTCTATGGCCAGCCTAAGAACACCTGAGGCCAAGATAAAGGTTCTGGCCTGCCTTTAATTTTAATCCATGTAAGGCTGCCAAAATTCAGTCCCTGCATGGATCATTCCCTAAATTGAAGTGCAGACCTGCACTGGCTTGTTTTAGGACCTACTCCCAACCCATACCTGTAACCTACAGCCATACCTGTAACTCACTTATGTAAATAATTTGTACCTGCAATTCATAAACAGTACTGTCCAACACTTAACTATACTAACTGGCAAAGGGTACCAAATTAAAAGTATTTTCAACTGTAAATTACAGAGGCCTCTACTGTACCCACAATGACAACAATAATAATACCTTATGAGCTGTGACTTAAGACCCAGTTGAAAAAGAAAGATGCATGTTATAGGAGACTTTCATGTAAGAGAGAGAGGTCATATTAGAAGTGTTAGACTCCTGCAAATTTTCAAGAGCTAAAGACTCCTGCCCATTTGAGAGTTTAACAGATTACTGTAAAGCTCAACTCTCTCTTAATTGTTGCCCTATGTGTAAAAACAATGCACATTAGGTACAAGGGCTGCATCTCCATTTGTATGTAATTCTCAAATGACTCTTTCTATTGTTCTATACTAAAGCTGAAAGCCCAGAGCGATTACTCATTCAACAACCTGGACAGCCAAATTTGATTCATAGGTATTGGGCCTCTAAGGACAATACCAAGAAGTGTTGGGTATCCCAGTCTTTTGTAGATGGACAGATTGTTTATGGCTTTTTACAAGAAATGAAAACCTAAATGCCCTGTAATCATCATTCAGCTAAAGCAAATACATCATTTTCTCATGACTCAAGCATCTTGCTTTCTTGATACAAACATGGTGAAGACTTGTTTTCTCTTCTATGATGAATTATCCTTAAATATCCACAGAGATTCGCCCACACTTCCAATGCTAAGAAATCATAGCATTGTCACTTGGTGACCTCAACGCAGACCAGTTATTGGTAGGAATGCTCAAGAATTGCACTGTAAGCTTAAAATGGGTTGCACATAGCTGGGTAAATGTAGGGCATCATAACAGAAAGGAGGAATTATTCTTGTGATCCACAGTTACGATTTAGATTATTTTTTCTTCATACTCCTGCAGTTGTAAAATGAATGGGATAAGCAGACAGCTGACATTTTCAGACACTTTATTTATGGGGCACTGAACCTTTTTGCCTCAAAAGGACAACAGGGCACAGGGCAAAACATCAGCTCCAATGTGGAGGTTTATTGGTATGAGCTGAATTTGGCACCTTTCTCCTGCTCCCCAGACATACAAAAACTGTGGAATGAGGCAGGCAGAAACTCTGAAATACAATACTCCTATAACATAGCCTACATCAGACAGAAAAACAAAAAGGTTTATTTCATATGTCATCCATAGACAAAAGATGATATTTGAATTCTCAGGTTGGATCATGAAATGACCTTGTGTTCATGGAACCTTCAAACAACCTCCTTGACCACTACTGGGAGAAACAATTGTTGGAATACAGTGTTCATGTATTTTGTGCAACAACTATATCAATATTCAGTAGAGATATATTCTTTAACCAGTAGATGGCAGTGTTTATACATTTGTAGCTGCATCTATGGTATACTCTATGTCTTTTCTCTGAATAAAATTTCTGGTTTCCTTGTTGCAGTGAAGCAGAAAAACACATGTGGACTGTGCACTGTGTTCTGTAGGGTTATATACATTAAAATCAGTCCAGTTAGAAAACCTGTCCAACTCACTACTGATAAGCAGTGGTAGCAGTCTCCCTATGTTGCACATCTTATCCCCTTCATTTTTTTGACGCACGTAGAGTATCTTGAGGAGGTTGCATTGTGCCAGGACATCCAACAATATAAATCAAAAGATGCAGCGCTGGAAAAGAGATACTATAAAAATAAATTATAAAATAAACAGTTCATGTGGTGATTTCAAAGTGACTTCAGGTGCTTTCATCTAATCATATCCTCCTGGTGGTAAGGTGCTGTGCGATAAAGTGCAGAAGAAATGCACACTCACCAGAACGCACAGTTTAATGAGCGTTTATAAATATATGTTTCTCCTGAGGTCATCTGCTGGTCAAGGTGAAGTCTGGAATCCAATAGCCTCCCTCCAGTGCTCCTGGATGTTATTACTAGGACATCAAGGTGATCCCTCGGATGGTGGCCTATGGACTGCTCTTTAATGGTTATGAACGCTCCTTCCCCAGTAGTCAGATGAATGGCTGCGGATTAATACTCCCCAGGGGAGTCAAAACAGAGACATCTCCATAGTGTAGTAGATATGTACTTTATTGGAGCAAAAACGAGGATTTTGAAAGGTAAAAAATCAATAAGTATGCAAGTGGTTACATGGACTAACCGTCCAATGTTAAAGATGGCCGCCGGAGCTCCACGATGCTCCGGCGGCGTGACGTCACGGCGTTCCTGGCTCCTCCATCCAACAAGCCTCCAGTAGAGGACTAGCTATGGGTTTGGAGAGCCTGAGTAAATCCAACATATTATGATGGTGGCTCTAACTGGAGATGCATTATAATTTATACCTCCGTCAGAGAAGGACCCGCAGTCAGTGACAGCTGCTGGGTGTAATACAAATATCAGCTCTATTTTCAGAACTGCAATCACAGCGCCTGACACAGGGAAGTCTTTCACCACAGATCTTCTTCTTTGAAGAACTCAATATTGTAAAATGATTTGTACTCAATAGTAAAAGAAATTTGATTGACAAAGATTACTGGTAAAGATGGAATGATAGTTTTTTAATATATATTAAGGTGAGTCTTTTATCCTTTTCACAGAGCAGCAGTGATCTTATGCAACTCATAAGGTACTTTCTCCTTTACAATTTATCCTTTACAATCCCTCTTTTTAACAAATTTCCAAAAAGGTGCGTTACCAAAACAAATTTTATCTAACACAATTCCCAATTATTCCCATAGCCACAAATTACTGGGTCATTTTGTGTGGTACACTTCCCTCATGGGAAACAATCCCAACAATGAAAGAGCCAATTGTTTGGTTTTGCATGTCAGGCCAAATGTTCTCAGGTCTCCTCTGATATTTATGGGCACAATAAGGGAAAAGGAACCACAGACTGAGTGTAGAATGACTCCATCATCTTTGTCTGAATTAGGTGTTATGTACTCAAATGCAAAATAAGAAATTCAAACATTAATTTTCTCATGGATAAAGCAATTCTCTTTGAAAAACGAATAATACGATGGGTGTTCTGCAGGGAAAGGAAAATAGCTAACTGGCTACACAGTAGACAGTTTTTTGGATAACCCCTTTATTTGTCACTGCTTCTCCCCTTTTATCTGCCCCAAGCTTGTGGGAATGGATTCAGTTACAGACCACATCAAAGCTGACGCTGGTTCCTAAGAAAATTCCAGTAAGGACAAACAAAGATTACAACTATCAGCACAAATTTACTCATCTATGCACAGATGCCTGTGGTCTATGTCTTTTTTAGTGGATTCTGACCTCTAGCACAGCTAGACTTGCTCAGATCCACAAATAAAACTTGTAATAGCATCTGAAACCAGATCTGGGAAAGAAATAGCTTGAAAGCAATGAAGTGATTTTCTCATATCGCCACTCACAATTAATGAAGAATTACTATCTAATTAAAAAACAGGATATTGTTTTAAAATGAGGAGCGGTTAAAATCATAAAATACAACTGACCATCATATATAAAATACTTTTATGGCAATGGGAGAGCAACTAACTTTAAATTCAACCTTTGAAAATCTCATCAGTGGCAAGAAGAAAATTTTCAATGTATCATGGGAGCTGATTATTTTATTCCTAACTCAGACCTATTGAGCTGTAGCAAGAGGAGAAGTAAAGCGGCAGGGCAGCTATAAACTGTAGAAAATAATTCAAGTGCCTCTGCATGATTCCTAAGAACTAGGGGGAATTATAGAAAGTTAGTTTAGTTTTACTAAAAAGGTATTAATTGCCTAAAATGTAAATAATGTTATGTTAGTTTATTTTTCTGTAAATTTAAACAAGACTCAACAGAATCCCTACATCAAAACTAGATTTTTTTTTTGTTATGAAAATATTATAGAATGTACAGTTGCAAGAAAAAGTCTGTGAACCCCTTGGGAATACGTGGAGTTTTGCATGAATTGGGGATAAAATGTGCTCTGAACATCATCTAAGTCACAACAATAGAAGAACACAGTCTGCTGAACATAATACTACACAAACATTAGATGTTGCCATGGTTTAATTGCACATAACATGTAAACATTCACAGTGCACGGAGGAAAAAGTATGTGAGGCCCTAGCTTAATGACTTCTCCCAGAGCTAATTGGAGCCAGGAGTGAGCCAACCTTGACTCCAATCAGTGTGATGATATTGGATGTGTTGCTGACAGCTGTCCTGCCCTTAAAAAAACACACACCTGTTTTGGGTTTACTGATTTCAAGAAGCACTGTCTGATGTGAACCATGCCTCACAGAAAAGAGCTCTCAGAAGACCTATGATCAAGAATTGTTTACTTGCATTAAGCTGGAAAGGGTTACAAAAGTATCTCCAAAAGCCTTGATGTTCATGTTTCCACGGTAAGACAGACTGTTTACAAATGGAGAAAGTTTAGCACTGTTGCTACTCTCCCTAGGCGGGGTTGTCCTGTAAAAATGACTGCAAGAGCACAGCACAGAATGCTGCATGAGGTAAAGAAGAATCCCAGAGTGTCAGCTAAAGACCTACAGAAATCTCTGGCACATGCTAACATTTTTGTTGACACATCTACAATAAGGAAAACATTAAATAAGAATGGAGTACATGGGAGGACACCACGGAGGAAGTCATTGCTGTCCAAAAAAAATATTGCAGCACGTTTGACATTTGCAAAAGAGCACCTGGATGTTCCACAGCACTACGGGCAAAATATACTGTGGACAGATGAAACCAAGATTGAGTTGTTTGGGAAGAACACACAACACTATGTGTGGAGAAAAAAAAGGCACAGCACACCAACATCAAAACCTCATTCCCACTGTAAAACATGGCGGAGGGAGCATCATGGTTTGGGGCTGCTTTGCTGCCTCAGGGCCTGGACGGATTGTTGTCATTGATGGGAAAATGAATTCCAGAGTTTATCAAGACATTTTGCAGGAAAACGTACGACCATCTGTCCGCCAACTGAAGCTCCGCAGAGGATGGGTGATGCAACAGGACAATGACCCAAAGCATACAAGTAATTCAACAAAACAATGGCTGCAACAACACAGAATACGCCTTCTGGAGTGGCCCAGTCAGAGTCCTGACCTCAACCCGATTGAAATGCTGTGGCATGACCTTAAGAGAGCGATTCACACCAGACATCCCAAGAATATTGCTACACTGAAACAGTTTTGTGAAGAGGAGTGGTCCAAAATTACTCCAGATCATTGTGCAGGTCTGATCTGCAACTCCCTAAGGGGAGGGGCGGTGACATCATCACGCATCCACAGAAGGAACGGCGAGTATATTCAATGAAGACAAACACACCTGCAAGGTTGTTTGTAGTAGGATCTGGACACATTTTATACAAAGCGCTACTTTCATTTATTATTATTATTACTACGAGTTTATATAGCGCCAAAGGGTTTGCTCAGCGCTGTACAATAGGGGGGGACAATACATGGCACAGTACAACAAAGACAGACAGCGTACGAGGGGTAAGAGGGCCCTACTCTTACGAGCTTACAATTTATACCATGTGAGTGGGAGATCAAAGCTTAATAAACAATCGTTATCCCGGATAAGACGCTATGTTTCTTTTCCCTTCTCTGTATGTATCGTATATGGAGGAATAAGCCAAGCAGCCAGTGGAGAAAGTCCTATTGAGAAGGCTGTGTTGAGGAGAGAGGAGAGGAGAAAGGAGAGAGAGGTTCACGCCGTGAACACTGACTCATCACACAGATTAGATTGAACTACAATACCATCTCAACTCTTATGAACTGAACTGTTATTTCCATTTTTATTTTTTACTTATACATTTTAAATTTTTTTTTTAACAATATTTTTTCAATCCAATAATAATTTATTTAAAATTTTTTTTTTTTTTTTTAACAATATTTTTTTCACTCCAATAAATTATTTAAAAATATTAATTGATTCTTTTACATTTATTATTATAATTTATTTATATATTTATATTAATTATGGATTTAAGTATAATTGATTCAGATAATTATTGAATTATTGGTGATACACTTAGCAATTTATATATTAAAATTTATAATATCACTCATAGTTGAATATATTGGAGCGCGGTACAATATTGATATATATAGCTAACATCCACACACCTGGAGAGGGTGTAACAAGTACCTGGCGATCTAATATTTTATATAATTTATTTAAGCACGTAATGAATTAATTAGTAATACTTTAGTAGCTCACATATATATTATTCACATTACTTTTTATGCACGCAATTAATTGCTTTAAGAGTAAGAAAACTTCTAGTGGCTCACAAGTATTTATTTAATTTGAATTTCCATAATTTTACAGTTGTCACCATTCACCAGATGGGGAGCTGGTAGGAAGAATTCTTACAGTCGGGACACCAGTTTCAGTGACAACTGTTTATTAGGGGATTTCTCTTTACTTCAAAAAAGATTTTCCTTCACTCTTCATTTTTCAAGAAGTGAGGACAGCAGCATTTTCAATCTGGGGAGAGGGTAGTGTTAGATGCGACAGCATATTTAGACAGACTTGGATAATACATTAAACCTAAACTCATACTGACACTTTTCAAGAAGTTGCAGCAACTGTTTTTTCTTTTTGGATAAAAAACTTCACATAAATGAATAAACTCTAACCATTGTAAGAACCCCTGCCAGCGGTAAATGGTTTGTCTCAACCCTCTACCTGCCACTTTTAATGGACAGCTTGGTCTGTTAATGGAAGATGAAAAATAACAGATTTACTGGAAGGATCATCATCAGGTAAAAATATAGGGGCTACAAAAGCTACAAAAAAAAAGGAAAAAAAAACATATGCAGCCATCACATCCAAGAATGGTAAACTGAAATATATTAAATGTTTGTTTTTGGGTTTATCACTCCTTTAACTCAAGTGTTTCTTGGACAACAAAACATGAACAAAGGAAAGAATGCCAAAAACATCTTCCATTCTCCTAACCTGTAAATTGCTTCTTCTCTGCTCATCTGTTTCCATGTCCAGAAGATCATCAATGTTCACCTCATCCGGCATGTCCACCTCCTGCATCATGGAAAAAGAATCTGATTAGCAAAGAAATGGTTGGTTACCAGAGTTCTTCCTTGGCTGATATCCAGCTTTTTAATATTATCATTTGTGTGGAGGAAGCTATAGAGGAAATGGGAGGTGTATGTATAGTGAGCCTCCAGGATGGCTGCTGGGTCTCACAGGGGCCCTAAACCCACTAATAGGGTTATTATTCAGTAATCACCAGAGCTGCACAGTTACTGGAAGACGTCAGATCTCCAGTGGGAACCAACATGCTGCCATACGTAATTTTTGAGACAGAGGTCACACTGTTGTTTTTATTATTATTTAAGGTGCCAAGTGAAAAAAATATATAAAATGTGTAGTATGAAGCTGCCCCTAATAAGGTGGACAACCACGCTTGTGCAAATATATAATATAAATAGACAGGCGCTACATATAAGTTAAAATAAATTGTGCATGTACTTAAGAGGCTAGTGAACACCACCTGCCCCTAAATCAGACCGTAGAATTATACAATTAGAAAATTATATATCACCAAAAGTGGGTACAAAATTGCCACTACCTGTGCAAAAAAACATCAAAACATCAAAAAGAAAAAGCACAAAATTAATGAAAGTCCACAAATGAATTTAGATTTGGGAAATGGTGACAGTCCTTTCAATTTCTTTAAGCTGTGACCCAAACCAAGAAAGTGACATAACTTCACCACATGCCGGCAAGGAATATAAAAATTGCTCACTCACCAGACCTTTTGACCCCAATGAAGGTTGTCAGATGTACTTTTTGGTCATATAGGAGACCATCCTTTCAGGAAATTAATCCCCTCCCAGCAGCTCTCCATTTATGGCCATAAGCTAAGGTATAGGAACTCCCAATATGCCTCCAGTACTTCTATGGTGTTTGATATGGACTAATCCTTATAGAGATTTGGTGCCAGACCACTCAGATAAACCAGACAGATAAATAGCCTTCTAAATGCAGTATTTATTAAATAAACATAAAAACCATATGCAAACGATTTTGCACTCACATGGGATGGTGCCTGTAAACCGGCACCAGTATCTGCAGCCTGTGAATATCAAAGATGGCCATCATTATGTTCATTTAATAAATACTGCACTTAGAAGGCTATTTATCTGTGGATAAATAGATATGGATAGGTTTTATAGGAAAAACTCAAAAAATATTGTGTTTTTTTCAAAATTGTCACTTTTTTTGTTTATAGCACAAAAAATAAATGCAGAGGTGATCAAATGCCACCAAAAGAAGGCTCTATTTGTGGGACAAAAATGTCAAAAATTTCATTTATATACAGCATTGCATGACTGCGCAATTGTTAGTTAAAGTAACGCAACAACGTATTGCAAAAAATGGCTGGTCAGGGAAGAAGGGGGGGGGGGGGGGGGGGTAAATCCTCTGGAGGGCAAGTGGTTACTTGAAGTAATTTCAAATGACTTCCATCAAGTCATAGAATGTACTGATGAGAATTTTTGTACAAATATTCGTATTGTTTATACAAAATTCATTAAAAAATCTTCTAGTGTATGGCCAGCTTAGTAAGGCCTGGATTTGCAGAGCGGATGTAGATTAAACGGAATAGCTATGTGAGACTATTTTCAGAGACAGGTCATTAATCCAGACAGTTCATTCATTATACATGGCTATATAAACAGGAAAGCATTACATCTTATTTGCCTTCTTTAAAATGTTTCCATTGAGACTACTGAAACACTACCAGCATATCATTTTACAGGTCAAAATCTATCAAAGATAAAAGTGCAGTTTAGTCCATTATTGTCCATATGTTCTCATTTGTGTCCCGAACTATCCAATTAGCTTTTACAAAAAAGCCAGCTGTGTACAGCACAACACACATTACATTTAACACCCCTTTCGTATCTTTGTCCACTGCAGCCAACGTCCTTAGCATTATACTAAAGTTGGCCATACATGGATCAAAATGTGGCCAGTTGAGCAGTAGAATTTCAATTCATGTATAGACAGAGAGGGTCTACCAATTGAATTCTGTACAACCTCCCTGTAGATCTTTTGCTGCTTAATCACCCCTGCCGGCTATAGCCAGTGGTGCCGATCAGTATTTTTTGATGGTGGGGAAATCTCCATACTGTCAGGATACAAAGGCACAGCGGGAGGATTCCCTCATCCACATTGAATGTGTGGGTGGGAGAATGTTGTTTCAGTCAAGCCAATGATCTATGGCAGTTTAAAGTGGTTGCAAAGAATGAAGTATTTTTTACCTTCAAGCATTCTATAAATAACAGGTTAAGAAAAAAAAAAAACCTTCAGTATGCAGCTCCCCCCCCCCCCCCCCCTCAGCCCCCATTAATACTTAACTGAGCCTGATCACGATCCAGCACTATACATGAGAGCCTCGGCTCTACCGGGTCACTCTCTCCTCATGGACATTGGCTCCTGCTGCTATCAAACACAGCCTTTTTGAGGAGGGAGCAGGAGGAGGGGCTGAGCCACGCTCTTATGGCCGTACAGGGCCAGCTTGGGAGCAAGCATACACGAGTGCCCCCAGAGCAAGCAGCTCAGCAGGGGGGAAGTGCCAGGCACGCCAGTGGGGGATCCGAGAAGAGGTGGATTGGAGCTGCTCTGTGCAAAACCACTACACAGAGCAGGTAAGTATGAGGGGTTTGGTATTTTTTAAAAAACAAAGCTTTACAACCAATTTGACTCTTCTGCCACTTTGGCAGGCCATACATTATGCAAATTTATTTTCTTCAACCAGGGGTTGAAAGCAAGAAAATTGCTTGATTCCACCTTCAACATACCCAGTGTTGATGGGGGAATCTAGAGCTATTATGTTCTGCCAGCAAGGAGAGTGGAGAGCCTTCCTCAGCGGCAGAATACAATGATCATTGCTGGTGGCTATAGCTGCCAGCACTGATTGGGCAAAAAACCCTGACAGGCTGATTGTACTGCAGTCGATCAATGGACCAGCCTGCCCATAGTCTGTTTGAAATTCAGCTGTTTCCTGCTGAATTTAAATTGTCCATGGCCAGATTTACTCACATTCCTAAGACCCTGACCCTAGCCTGCCTGTGTACTGCTTACAATTGTATGTTGTAATATTAATCAGAAACCTATGTAAGCTTGTTTATTAAAAAAAGAAAAAAAAACAGATGGAATAAACAGAATAGTTATTTGGAAAGATGATGGGTGTATCTTTTTGTGTCTGTTACCTACTGCAGTAGTCATGATTTGGGAACAACTGATCAATACTAGGATAGGAGTTGTCCATCTATAAAATTTCCAAGTCAAATCTGTATAATAATAAACACCAACCAAATCTACAATCACAAAGGCCATGCATCCAGGTACAGATCAATAAACTGCTGGACCAGAACAGCAGTCCTCCATTTAATTAAATTATTTTATAGGTTTACAAGGATCTAGGCTACTTACATCAACAATGTACACAAGCAACTGAGCAGTTCTGAATACTGTCATGGTCTGGTAGTGCATAGGTTAAAGTATAACTCCAGTTAAACTGTATCCATTGAAAAAAAAGAAGCTGTTCCAGATCAATCATAAAGATTATCAAACATACTGATAAAAAGTTCTGTGAGTTATATTGAGCATTTCTGAGGTGCACGTGTGCTTGTTATCTCAGAGGGGTAAAATATAACTTCAGTTAAAACCCATTTTCTGTTTTGTATAGAATGGGAATATTTAGAACATATTTCAGGTTTTTATTGGTAGCTGTGACCTCATCGAGGAGATTTCCTCCAGAGACACCGCAGTAAATAAATACAAATCTCTCACATATAAAGTAGAAATCCCACTTGACAGCTATGCCCTTTGTTCTTGGTCTGGTGAAAACTGTAAAACTACAACGGATAAAAAAATGAGGTCAGATCTATCCCTGGGGATACAGAAAAATGGGCATAGAGAAAAATCTGACAGAGGCTTTAAACCGTCCTGTCTGTCCAAAACTTAAAGCTGAATTATAAAGGGTAGGTTCACGTAAAAAAAAATAAATACATGCACATATTTTGCAATTGAAAAAAAATGTGCATTTATTATTTTTTTTTTTTTCTGCAGACCATCGCAGCCACGATCAGCAGAACATGGGAGCAATGTCAGGCTCCTGCAGACTCTCCATACAGTTCCCACCCACCGTCACAATGGGGGATGAGGGGGGAGGTGCGAGGCTACTGCTTTAGCATCATGTTACACCCTGAACATGGATGTAATATGTAACATGTTAATAAAGGTGAACTTACCGTTAAATCTGCTTATATCTTGCCTATCTTGGTCCCTCCTTTCCCCCACCTTCAACATGCTAAATATATTTTTTAATTAAAATCTGTTTTAATTGAATACCTTATTTTGATTCCAGTGGCATCTTTACTGGGTCTCTGTGCTTCTCTATACACTCTTCCTCAGTACTACTCTCAAAATTTCTAGCCCCGATGCAAGCAATGGGATGGCTCTTGGGAGGAATTAAGCACATATCAAAATGCTTTGATGAATGGATGTCATGCTGGAGGAGTGGGTGTTCCTAGGCAGGCTAGACCAGGGGCATATCTACCACGAGGCAAACAAGGCGTTTGCCTAGGGTGGCAATTTTTAGTGGGATGTCATGGCCCCCCCCAAAAGAAGGGACCTGGTGAGCAGTGGCGGACAGAGCCATGCAGGGCCACCATCAGAGGGGTGCCACTGGTAGTTCTGTAAGTGGCCCGAACAGCAGGAGGATCGGTGTGGTGGGGGAGAGCAGTTGCAGAAGGATGCACTGTGTATCTATCCCTCCAGCAGCTGAAAGTTGGTTTGAGGTTTCTCCCCCTGGCTTTCTGATGCTGGAGGGAGAGACAGACCTGTCCAGATGGAGGGGGTGCCCTGGTGTTCCTGAGTGGGTGCTCTCCGCAGAGCTCCTTCCCCCGTCCTCACTGAGAGCCAGGACACACACACACACACTGATTACCACCACCTGCCCGGAGATCAGCAGCCCTTTGAGGAGGTGTGTGTGTGTGTGTGTGGGGGGG